TCCAAATTTATAAAATTAAAGCAAGTGAAGACAGGTGGTTACCTTGAGAACTACATGGAGATACACTCATAGATGTAGCTAAAATAGCGGCCAGCAGATGGCATGGTGGTTAAGGTTCTGGATCATACATGACCAACTCCACGTTTCAAGTCCCATACCTGAGGGCTTGAAAAATATTCCTGGTGCATTTGCCTGTGTGCCCAAAATCCTGAGAGAAGGGAGAAGGAATTGTGGCATGGCCATCCTCCCTGGGGGGATTTCTCTCTCTCTCTCTCTCTCTCTCTCTGATATATCGTTCTGGCAAGTACATGCATCATTATGGCAAAAATCTGAAAAAAAAAAAAAAAAGTAGCAGGACCAGCAGTTAGCGTAATGGCTATGTCACTGGACTCCCATGTAGTTGACCGCAGTTCGAGTCCCGGACCCAGTGGCTTAAAAACTCACACCAGGTGCGTGTGTGTGCATGCCCAAGATCCCGAGAGAAAAATGGAGGAGAAGGGATTGCGGCGTGACCATCCCCCCTGGGGGGTGATTTCTCGCTTTCTGTCTCTCTGGAGAGCACACGCACCCTATAGCAAAAACCTCTCAAAAAAAAGTAGATAAAATTTAGTCTCACATGTTCACATCAGCATATGATCTTGGACACTTGACATGGGCTCTCTCTCTCGTTTTTTTTAGAGAGAGAGATTTTTGTTAAAGGGCACATGTGCTCTCCGGAGAGACAGAAAGCAAGAAATCACTTCCAGGGGTGGAGGGAGGGAGGATGACCACGTCACAATCCCTTCTTCATTCTCCTCTCAGGATTTTGAGCACACATGCACACACACCCAGCATGAGTTTTAAGCCACTGGGTCCGGTACTCAAACTGTAGTTAACTACATGGAAGTCCAGTGATGTAACCTTTATGCCATCTACTGATCCTGGTTTGTGTGTGTGTGTGTGTGTGTGTGTGTGTGTGTGTGTGTGTTTCAGTTGGTGAAGTCAGTGGTAGTAGTCCTGTTTTACAGATGAGATAACTGACTTTAAAAGGGATTAAGAAACTTGCTCAAGGGCCAGCAGGTAGCATGGTAGTTAAGGCACTGGATTCCTACATGACTGACTGTAGTTCAAGTCATAGACCTGGCAGCTTGCTTTCTCTTCTCACTTTCCTGCTCTCTCTCTCTCTGTCTCTCTCTGGTTAATTTAATAATTAATAAATAAATAAATTAAATAATTCTTTTTTTTGAGAGGCTTTTGCTATAGGGCGTGTGTGCTCACCAGAAAGACAGAGAGAGACAAAGAGACAGAAAGCGAGAAATCACCCTCCAGGGGGGTGGCCATGCCGTAATCCCTTCTCCTCCATTCTCCTCTCGGGATCTTGGGCACATGTGCACACGCGCCTGGCATGAGTTTAAGCCACCAGGTCTGGGACTCGGTCGATTGCATGGGAGTCTTAACAACATAGCCATTACTCCAACTGCTGGTCCCAATAAATAATTCTTAAAAAAAAAAAAGAAGAAGAAGAAGAAACTTGCCCAGGGTAGTGCAGCCAGCAGTGACTTGAGCAGTTAGGACCCAGATCTGTGGGACTACAGAAGCGCTCCCTCATGGCCCAGTTTTCATGCAGCAATGGCAGGTGCTCTGGAAATGTTTCATGAATAAATAGCAGTTGTGAGGAAATACATCAAAGAAATATAAAGCTTCAATGTAAATTTCCCCAGAAAGCTGTGTAAACTTAAAAGCAATGTAGATTGGGGCCAGCAGGTGGCGTGGTGGTTAAGGAGCTGAATTTCCCACATGGCTGGTTGTGGTTTGAGTACTGGACCTGGTAGCTTGCTTTCTCATTCTCCAAGCTCTCTCTCTCTCTCTCTCTCTCTCTTTCTCTGGCAAAACTCATGTGAAAATAATGATAATATTAATAATAATAAAAAATAAATAAATAAATAATTCTTTTTATAAAAGGCAATGTAGACCAAGTAAACCATTCTCAAAGGCTTATTTACAATGAGGAAATAGGCAAAATCACGGACACTAGAATGTTGAGAATTTTCATTCAGAACATCTTTTGGGCCCATCTAAAGGCATTCTCCTAAGCACTGATTCATCAATCTAGCACAGTAGCTTTAAAAAGGTCAAAGCTGTGTCTTTATGGAATGTGTGTGTACCTTATAATAGAACTTACTTTATCATTCATAAGGATGGTATATTTATTCCTATTTTATGGGATTTAAAATTATTACAAAAGAGGTGTTTCATTTCTATGTACTGTGTTTTGCTTTGATGTTTACACAGGGCCACATCTATAAAGATGCCAATTCTTTTTTTTTGGAGAGATTTTCACTGTAGGGCGCATGCGCTCGCCAGACAGACAGAGAGAGACATAGAGACAGAAAGCGAGAAATCACCCCCCAGGGGGGATGGTCACGCCGCAATCCCTTCTCCTCCATTCTCCTCTCGGGATCTTGGGCACGCACGCACACGCACCCGGCATGAGTTTTAAGCCACCGGGTCCGGGACGCGAACCGCGGTCGACTACATGGGAATCCAGCGACATAGCCATTACGCTAACTGCTGGTTCCCAAGATGCCAATTCTTAATCAAGGTTATAATGTTGCTCTCCCCTAATACTATATTGTTTCTGTGTATTGAATATAATCTATAATTATCCACTTAAAAATATGGCTCCATTATGGGGGAGGGGAGTATTTTTCCTGACTCTTCTCCTACTTTGCAGGTAGGGAGGGGAAGTAGCAGGTAGGGATTGTCTTGCTGGGATTTAGTTTTGTATGATCCCAGGGTTTAAAAGTTAACTCTGTTGTATTCATTGAGAGCTAACTGGTTTGGGAAAGGAGGAGGGGAATGTAGCATTTTGTGATTTAAAGTATCAAGGGTCTTCAAAAAGTTCTGGGAAAGACATATTATGAAAAACTATGCATGGATTTCAAATTTTATGTGCACCAAAATAAGCTTGTACATTAATTCCATTTTTCTATGAACTTAAAAAAATGTTTAATTGCTATGGGAGACAGAGCAGCAGGGAGAAAGCATCCCTCAGTGAGATATGTTCATGCTGCAATCCCTTCTTCATTTCTCTATCCTGTTGGGATTTGAGACATGCACACAGACACTCCAAGCATAATTTTTGAGGTGCCAGGGCCAGGACTCAAACCACTGTTGGCTATGTGGGATTGAGCTCCCTTAAGCATGAGGCTGTGGGACCAACCCACCACAAACCTTTTGAAGCTTCCCCATATTTACAAGTGGTGGTTAAAAATAATAATAATAATAATAATAATGGCAAGGGAAGGCAGAAACTTGAAGTGAGGTTTCTAAGACAGTGTTCAGAGTGAAAATTGTGCTTAAAAATCCTATGAGCACAGCAGGGGACTCACATTCTTTGGCATTGCATGGGAACTAAGACCAAGCAAGATACAGACTGGAACCGTAGGAATGCTGTTGGTTAAGTGTATATATGAATCCTGAAGTTCTCCACCTCGTGGGTGGCACCCCAAATGGTTTCAAACATGTTCCTCTGCTCAGTTGAGGGTTCAGTGCAAGGTGGGTGATTGAATTGCCATCTCCTATCCTTTCCTCTTCCCCGTACACACTCACACCTGCTCACCTCAAGCAGGGCTCATTATTCTGAGTTCTTGTTAAGATGTGTTTGTAAGCCATTGAAATAAACCAGAAATGCTGGGATTGACCTCTGTGTCTTCCATGTCAGTGTGGATTTGGAAATGTTCCTTAATCTTTCTGCTTTTGGTCTCATTTGTAGTATGACGTCTTTGGACTAAATAAGTATAGACATCTCTGCTAAGAACCAGCTAAATCAGAGAAATGTCTGTAAACAGTGCTGGCAACATTACTCTGGTCTCACTAGTACCGAATTAAATAATAGCACAGACACCACTCAGTGTTCCTTAGTGCTGCTGAGATAGTGAGAAAATAGAACTGAGGGGACATTTTCACTGTAGCTTCTTTATTCTGAATAAAACCAGTAACAACTCCTTGTGAGAAGGCAGTCACTGTTACTTTTTATTGATCGAATCTCTTCTCTGGAACACAGTTACTTATTTACTGAAAATATTTTTTATCTTGACAAAAAAAAAATACATTTTTTTCCTTAGCAGTTGACTAATATTTGTTTTAGTAATCATGTAGACAGTTCTTTTTTTTTTTTTTAATAGAAACGTTCTTTTTTTAAAAATGCCCTTTGTGGGACCAGCAGTTAGCGTAATGGCTATGTTGCTGGATTCCCATGTAGTCAACCGCGGTTCAAGTCCCGAACCCAGTGGCTTAAACTCACACCGGGCTTGAGTGAGTGTGTGCCCAAGATCCTGAGAGGAGAATGGAGGAGAAGGGATTGCGGTGTGGCCAACCCTCCCGGGGAGTGATTTCTCACTTTCTGTTTCTCTGTCTTTCTGGCAAGCGCACACACCCTATAACAAAAACCTCTCCAGAAAAAAAAAAAATGTTCTTCGCACATTCTTCTTGCAGGTGATTTGAAGAGGCTGGTCTTAGTGATGCAGAGGTTTCCAGAGTTTAATCTGCTGAGCCTGAGGAGCAGTGTTTGGGGGCTGCTTAGAAGTGGCATGTTAAATATGTAGTCTTTGACATTTTAGTTACAACATTTGCAAGAACTTTTAGAACAACGAACAGAAATTTTGACACTGGTAGTGAATGTCAGGTTATATCGGTTATGTATGGTCAGGCCTTGAATGCCCGATTTTATTTTTACATCTCTCATCACTTGCCACCCAGCTGCCCTCTTGTGCAGGCTGTGGAAGGCTTCCATTGCTTTCTCCTTACCCTGACTGACCTGAGCACGTCGCAGCTGACTGTATCAGGAGCGCCCTCTGGAGGACAAACTTTCAAAAGACACCAAAGAAGTTTTTCTCCAGTTCAACTCTGCGTTGTTATTGTACTTCTCAGTACTGGCAAGGGAGGAGCAGTGAATTTCAAGAGACACAAAATCTCATTCATTTTTTTTTTGTTGTTTTTTGACCTTTTGTTTCCACCAGGTTAGCCACCATCCACCTATCTCTGCATGTCATGCTGAGTCTGCAAATTTTGTTTTTTGGCAAGGTAATGTGCTAATATATTTTATCTCTATTTTATATAATCTCACAGATTTATTTTATTCAGGAATTACTGTACATTCTTGTCAAGATCAAAAGTGGTCTCCGGAATTGGGCCTTGTTAGAAGGATCTATACTACATGTTCTTACCTCTCATCTCTGAATAATAGTTGGTATTTGTCCGTTTATAATTGGCATTATAGATAGTTGATTGTAGTTAATTATTAGTTGATATTAAGTATGTAGAGGTCATTTAGTTTTTATCTTTTTTAAAAAATCCTCAATTGTTATCTGAGCCATTTACTCCGGTAATTTTTTTCTCATCTTATTCTAAAATACTTGACACCCCTCACATATTTTAAGAGACACCAAATATTTACCTTTGCTAATCAGAGTATAGACAGAGAAGTTTTGCTTTTGGAAAAACTTAAATTTTATTTCTGAAATCACATTTTACATTGCTGACTTTTAATCAGTTTTAAGATCATTGTTTCTAAAATTTGTTTAGTTTATATTTTGGATTTGGAGGGGGCAAGTTGTTTTCAAAAATAAGCAAATCTTTGGATATTTTCTAGATGGATTAACTAATTTTGCTAATATCTAATTTATTCAAAATGTTGGAGAATACTATAGAAAGAAAATATGAGCATCCAGGTTTTCAGCGAGCATATTTCAGTTGAGAACATTTTTGTCTGATAACAGAGATATCACCTAATTTCCCACACTGTTTTAAAAAGTTTTTAATAACAGAAGAATATACTGTCACATCCTCACCATCTTCATCCCCTTCTTCAGCCACATAGTTCCTCTCTCTGGTGGCAATCAATATTATTAGTTTAGAGTTACAAGGACCATGGTTTCCATTCTTAATCTTTGCTATTAAAGTTTAAAATGAAGCTTACTTTGAAACCTCTCTTTTATCAAAACCCTCTGGAAATAATTCTTATAAGGTCTCCAACCTCTTAATTACGAGATCTTATTGGCCCCACTTAGCCCTTCTTTAAATTATGTAATGGGAGGGAAGAGTTTCCTTAGAGTGATTTTCATGGGCTCCCTATATTACATGGTTCCTTCCTCAGTTCATTTCCTAATTGTCCTCCTGGACAACCTTTCCTCATCAGCCTTTTCCTGGGCAATCTTGCTTATTTTCATAGGCCCACAACTCAAGTCTTACTTTCTTATCCAGTCTGATATTTCTCTGCCTTTTACTTAGGTTGATTAGACCATTTACAATTTTTCTATTTGTCATATCCTTTCCTTTTCTGCCTTCTTTTGAACAAGTTCTTTCTATAATTCCATTTTATCTCTTCTGTTGGCTTATAAACCATATCTCTCTGTTTCTTAGTTGTTACTTCAGGATTCAAATTACGTATCTTTAATGTTCTATCATCAATATTGTAAAGAGTATGAGACACTTACAAAAGTGTACTTCATTTCCACTCTCTCAACCTTTGTGCTATTTTTTCTTATGTATGTTATAAGTACCGTAATACATTACTGTTTTTGCTTTACACAGCTAGTTACCTTTGTTGGTAACAATTTTATCAAGAGATAATTCACAAGCCCTACAATTCACCTATGTAAAGTGTATGGTTCAATGATTTTTGTTATATTCACAGAATTGGACAATCGTTAGCATAATTAATTTTAGAACATTTTCATTATACCAAAAAGGAACCTCTTTAGCAAATACTTTTCGTCCCTCCCTAATTTCTCTCAAGGTCCCCAGCTTTAGGCAACTACTAATCTACTTTCCGTTTCTGTAAATTTGCCTATTTGGGGCATTTCATATAAATGAATAGTTTAGTATATACAGCCATGTGGTTTCTGTCTGGCCTTACCGCTCTTGCCTGGACCACAGTTATGGCCCCTACCAGCCTCCCCTGCTTTCACCCTTACCCCCTCACTATAGGCTTGTCTGCCCTCCATGTAGCAGCCAGGTGGGTCTCTCCCTTCTGGTATTTTCTATTCCCTATCTCCTCTGTTAGTGCCTCCATTCATGCAAATTAGAAAAATCTGACATCATTCATAAATTCTCTATTTCTACCTGCACCTAATTTCTGTCTATTTCTACTTCTTTAATAGTTCTGGATTCCCGTTGGTGTTGTCTTGGTTGACTTATCCTCTGGGCAACTACAATAACCTCTAACCTAGTCTTGCTCCTAATTTCTCCTGCCTTTGTTTCATTTACTGTATTTCTTCAACAGCAGGGTCTGTTCTCTGTTTATTTCCCCCAACATATACAAACCAGACTTTTCAGCCAGGCTCATAGTTTTTTTCTTTATAATCTGACCATGCCCTCTTATGCCTCTGTCTCCATGAATAAGCTATTTCTTCTGCTTTAAATTGCTATTCTCTGTCTGGTGAACTCCTGTATATACTTCCAAGTCCTGTTTAAATTGCCCACTTTAATAGCCTTTCCCAAGCATGTCCATCATTCCTTCTCTGGTTCTGTTTTACCTTACAACACATGCAGCTATAGCCTGTGCTTCTCTGTGTGGTCACTACTTATTTTCACTTTTATCTGCATTTCATACTTCAACTCTTCCAGAGGGGAAGGGGGTTATCTTAGAATTTTAGTTTTTCTGATTCTGCTTCAGGCACCTAATTTGTACTTATATGACATGACATTATCCTATACAAAAACTGATTTGTTTATGAAGAAGTTATACTACATAGTACTTAATCATGTATCTAGCCTAAGAAGTCTTCAGTCTACCTAGATATTCTGCTAAATAGTAATGTTTGGTATTTCATTTCAGATGTGAGGTGGAAAAACAAATTCTGGGGCAAATCCATGGAAATTGTTCCCATTGGCACCACCCACGTGACTCTGCCAGCGTAAGTTCTTCTGTGTTCGGGAGCTTTACAGGATTTAAGACGAAGATTTCACTGTGGAGACTTGAGGCTCACTGTCCCCATGGCATTGAGTGTGTATTTTTTCTTTTGATCCATGTGACAGTAGGTTCAAATGTAACCCATTTTGATAATCTCACATTTTCTTTCCCTCAAATGGAAACATCTTCTGAAAACCAAGGTTCCTGAACAGAAGCTTTTTTTCAGGGGGAATGAGGTTGTTGCTATAGGGCACGTGCATTCGCCAGACAGACAGAGAGAGACAGAGAAACAGAAAGCAAGAAATCACCCCCCAGGGGGATGGTTACGCCACAATCCCTTCTCCGTTCTCCTCTCAGGATCTTGGGCACGCATGCACACATACCTGGCGTGAGTTTAAGCCACTGGGTTCAAGACTCAAACCACAGACAACTACATGGGAGTCCAGCGACATGGCCATTACGCTAACTGCTGGTTCCAATATAAGCTTCTATAAAAACTAATTTTCACTTCCTAACACAGTTAAGAATGATGGTGTTTTTTTAACATGGTTTTCCTGCTTCACTGTCAAAATTTCCTTTAGGAAAGATATGGCCTTGATCTTATGGAATTATTGATACTTATTTATAAGGCAAAATTATTATAAACAGGGACTCTGGAACCAGACTGCTGAGTTTCACATGCTTACTCTGCCATTTGCATTGTGAATTCTTGGGCAGGTTGCCTCATCTTTCTAATCACCAGTTCCCCCCACCTGCAAAATGGGGATAAAAAAACACCTATCCATAGAGTTGTTGTGAAGAAACAGATAATATGCATAAAGCACATTACACTTTAAAATAGTAAAAGTGTTTCATCTTATTGCCATTACTCTTGAAAGTATTATTTAGCTCCATAAGTAATATTGAATACTTTCTCATTGTACTATATGCAAGTAATGTGTATTGAGCGAATTATATAAAACCCCCATACTTTACTCATACCCCCTTCTTCTCATTTGACAATGTTAGACAAGTTATATCTGGTGCTTAGCTGCCTCCTGTCAAAGGTGAAATGAGTTGTTCTGGAAGAACTAGCTTCTAGTGTAGCTTCTGGCAGCTTCCAGAGTGCAGAAATCTGACCGCTGTTGCTTTTGGTGTGTGGCTCCCTGGAGGGTGGAAGCTCATAAAACACTCAACAGGCCAGGCACTCAGGAGGTGTTGGCCCATGAAAGAAGGAATGAGTAATTCATTACATGAGTTATCTTACAAAATAGCGGCATTTGTTTGCATTTGCTGTTGGCTCTTCCAGGAATTCCTGTTTTCTTCGCTTTTTTCCCTTTTAGCTTTGGAGATCATTTTGAGTGGAACAAAGTGACCTCTTGTATTCATAACATCTTAAGTGGACAGAGGTGGATTGAGCACTATGGAGAGATTGTCATCAAGAACTTGAATGATGATTCCTGCCACTGCAAAGTAAACTTTATCAAGGTAATGTGGGTGGCCCTCTGAGCACTGACCCTGAAGGGCTTTTGCAAAGCCAAGACCTCAGGGCCCAAGGTGCCCCTAGTGGGTAGGGTTCACCTTCCCCTTTATGCCTGCAGGCAAGCAGTGCCTGGGACTTCTGATCTCATCACCTGACTCCTGCACCAGGGCCATGGCACACACACACACACACACACACACACACATACCCCATTCTTCCCCTATGATCTGTCCTGAATGCAGCAGCCAAAGCGACCCTTCTAAAACATGTCCTCCTGTGACAACATGGATGCACCTCGAAGGCGTTAGGCTAAGTGAACTAAACCAAGCACATAAGGGGAAACACTGTATGATTCTACTTGCCCAAGGTCCCTAGAGTCAGATTCATAGAGGCGGAAAGAGAATGTGGTTGCCAGGGGCCAGGAGAGAAGAAATGGGGAGTATAATGGGTTCAGAGTTTCAATTTGGAAAGATAAAAATGTTCTGGAAATAGATAGTAGTAATGGTTGCACAACATTGTTGATGTATGTAATGTTCTGAATTATACACTTAAAAACTATTAGAATGGTAAATTGTATGCGATGTATGCTTTCCTACAATTGTTTTTTAAAGCCATGCCTTATCATTCCTTTGAGCAAAACCTTCCAACAGCGTCCATCTTTCTCAGAATAAAAGCCTGCATCGTTACAATAGCCCACAAGGCCCTGTACAGCCTGCAGCCCTTGCCCCATCTCTTCACGTGTGCACTTGCACACCCACCTGCACACACACATGCACATACACCACCTTCCTCCCTCTCTAACCTCAACTTCTGACCCCTCTCCTCCCCTTTCTTTCTCACTACCCTCTGTCTGCTTTGACCTTTTTCTTTCATTTCCTCATGCCAGGGCCCCCCTCTCCCCAGTCCTTATACGACTGGCCCCAACTTGTCAGTCACTCTCTTATTTGCTTCAGTTTTTATCACCATCTGAGTCAGCTTGCTCATCATTGCCTTACTTGTTTATTTCTCTTTCTCCTTACCCTCCATCCCATCCCCAACTCCAGAAGAGCAAAAACCTCATCTCTCTTGCTCACTCCTGCAGCCGTAATACCTGGAGGTGGTGCCTGGGACACAGGAGAGGCTCATAAACAGCCGGAATAAATGGAAAGATTGGCCAGAGGCAAAAAGCATGGAATAGGCTCTTTATCTTTCCATGTGCCTGAGTTTTAAGCATTTTCCCTCTTTCCTAGATTTCTTCTTGCCCTTAAAAAACCTCATGTACTTAAAATGGCTTTCAAGCATGACCCTCCTCAAAAAATATGCATTGGGAACCAGCAGTTAGCGTAATGGCTGTGTCGCTGGATTCCCATGTAGTCGACCGCTGTTTGCATCCCGGATCCAGTGGCTTAAAAAACGCTGGGCGCATGTGCGTGCGTGCCCAAGATCCCGAGAGGAGAATGGAGGAGAAGGGATTACGGCGTGACCATCCCCCTTGGGGAGTGATTTCTCACTTTCTATCTCTCTGTCTCTCTCTGTCTGTCTGGCGAGCACAATGCATTTAATTAAGGTCAAAATCATAACCTGAAAGATTAGATTCTCATTGTGGAATTTCATGCAATACCTCCTGGCACCAGCTATAACTGATAAGGATGTTTATGAAGAGAGGTGGATTGGGATCTTTATTATACCCTAAAAAGTCAAACTGGATATAAAGCTACAATGGCCTCTTATGGGGAAAAATGAAAATGACTCTACTTTGAAAGCGTCATCTAACTGCAAAAACTGAAGATGCCCTGGAGCAGAGATATATAACCGGTGATCCAAGTGAGAGCCACGTAGTTCTCAAAATTTTCCCAAGCAAGGAAATGTGTTCAACTCTCAAGTTTACCACCCACCTGGTTGTCATCCTTTTTTTTTTTAAATTATTTTATTTAATTTTATTTATTCATTCATTTATTTTAATTGACCAGAAAGAGACAGAGAGGGAAAGTGAGAAAGCAAGCCACCAGGTCTGGGACTCAAACCATGATCAGCCATGTGGGAGTGTCCAGCACCTTAATAAGCCACCATGCCACCTGTTAGTCCCCTGGTTGCCATCATTTTGATATCAGACAATGAGGTTTTGTGTGTATTGAACACCGGACATTGAAAGGACACGTTGAAAGGAAATTTGACAGCACATGCCAGTTACCTATGGCAAATGACTAGGGCTTCCTATCAGATTGTCAGCACTGGATATTAGTAGACAGATATTTCTAAGAGAAAAGTCTGACTCATGCTTCAGATTAACGTTAACACCCTGGACAGTCTTTATTCCTCTTTTCCTCTATTTTTACATGGATGAAGAACTCAATTTTTAAATTTCTAATTCTACTCAGAGATGTTGCTGCTCCCTATCCTTCCTTAACATTTTTAACCTGGCCTTGGAATGGAGAAGCCAAACCACCTGACTATGACCTGAAAATGCCACTCAGCTTTATTGGTTTCCAAATGTGGATTCTGTTTCAGCTGAAAATAGTACTAGGATTTTTGATTTATGGAGAAATGCCTTCTGTTCTTTTATAGAGATTTTTAGGGCAGTCAGGTAATTGGGAGAGTTGAAAAAAATCAACTATAGGTAATTAGAGCTCCCTCTGCTGGCTCAAGAGTGGTACTGTATAAAGCCCGCAAGGCTGAGCTGAACCAGGTGAACAAGGCTGGCTGCCTTGAGACCAATACACAGTGAGAATGTGGGTTGGATAAGGTTCCCATGTGCTAGATGAACAATCCTAGCATTGAAGGGAAAAAAATCCAAGCAACTTCTTGGATTAGTTTGTGAAGGACTGTCTAGTTCTTTCAGAGAAAAAGATAATTAAATTTCTTTTAGGTTGCAATAAGAGCCTCAGTGCCATACCAGCGACAGTGGAGAGGGCTCTGGCCAGCCACACCTACTTGGCCAATGTCTACTCCAGCCTTCCTTTCTGCATTGTATGTAACAAAAGTAGGAAAAGATGTATCTTGCACAGTACTACCAAGTTAAAAAGTACAAGTGGAGGGTTAGTTAGTTTTGATTAAATAACTGAAGATCTGTTTGTTTGTTTTTTTCCTAATTCAAGAACCAGGCATACAGACAGACACACAGACCAATGGACTAGAATAGAGTTCAGAAATAAACCCATGCATTTACAATTAGTTGATTTTCAACAAAGATGCCAAGATTACACAAAGGAGAAAGCACAATGTCTCCCATAAATGATGTTGGGAAAACTAGATATCCACATGCAAAAGAATGAAATTAGACCTCTATCTCATACCATAAAGAAAAAAAGGAACAGATCTGGACCAAAGATGGCGTGGTGGGAAAGGCACTGGGTTTCTACATGGGCAGCCATGATTTGAGTCCTGGACCTGGCAGCTTGCTTTCTCACTTTCTCTTTCTGTCTCTCTCCAGGGAACACACACGCCCTATAGCAAATTAAATAATAATAATAATAATAAAATTTTTTAGCAATTAGGTCACAATAAATTAAAGGCATAAATGTAGAATTACTACTATAATGGTTCTTTCCTTCATTTTTCTGTTTTTCTTATCTTAATACATTTTATGCTGATACCAAAGTACTAACCAGACCAATCTCATTTGAATCCTAGGCAAAATACTGGAGCACTAATGCCCACGAGATTGAAGGCACAGTATTTGACAGAAGTGGGAAAGCAGTGCATCGGCTCTTTGGGAAATGGCACGAAAGCATCTATTGCGGTGGAGCCTCCTCATCTATTTGTGTCTGGAGAGCAAGTAGGTATCTGGGATCATCCACCCCAGGCAAAGAATGGGTGAGTGGGTGAGTCCAGAAGAGCCACAAGTGGGCAGGGATCGGTGTCCACTCGGTGTCTCCAGTCTCCACCTGCTCTGAGCTAGGTTAGTGGTACTGACCCCTCTTTCATTCATCTAACCATCATGGAATCCTTCCTCATGTTGATGAGGACACTTCCGTCAGGCTGCTAGGTCCTGGGTTCTTAACCCCAGATTGAAGTCATTGCTAATCCATGTGTGTTCTCTGAGAGAATCTTCCAGCCCACACTGGGCACTGTGAAAGATGATCAGTGAAAGCAAGAAATAGCTCTCGAGTAGCCACAAAGAGAGAAGTGTCACTGGGAAAACAGTGACCTCGGGGTTCTGCAGTTGTTAGAGATCCTGTCATTCCAGAAGGATGCTAAACCCTTGAAGCATTTGTGAGGAGATAGAGAAGCCCAACTTACATCAGCATGTCCCACAACGTTTCACACCTTCTTCTACCTTCTAATCTGAAAAATACGTTATTTCTAAGCAGTAGTCATATTATAAAACTGTTGTTCAGAGAAACAACTCTTAGGATGTTTCAGGTTGATAAACATCAAACAACAACAACAAGCCATTCAATGAGTGGCTTAAACCATTGCAATATATGTTATCACTTAACAGTGAGGAGTAGTTGGTCCCAGGGTTGTTACACAGGCAGCTTACCTATGTTGTGGCCACTCCCAGTATGCTATAAAAAAAATGGGTGAAACACTTCATGGGTGTTACACTTCCACACCATGTCTCCACATGAGTGGAACATGGGGAAGGGGAGCACAAAAGAGCTTTCTCCTCCTGCACCTCTCTTTCCTTAGGAATGCAGTATTTCCTGGATTCTCTAGCAGACATATCTTTACACATCAGCCTGAAATGGGTCCAGATCCATCTCTGAACCAACCATGGCACCAGGGTAGGCAGGAAAGATTCAGATAGGCTTAGGTTCATCCCCCAAAGAGGGCATAATGCCACCTGAGCACAGTCAGTGTTGTTAGCTGATAAGAAAGAGAAATGACTGCAGAGTAGGCAGCCGACCATGTCTCTTTCAATGGGTAGCAGCCACATCTTCCACTATCACAGGGGTTGCCACAAAGCTAGAATTAAAATCAGTACCTTCCGACGCCAGCCACTGGGTGCGCGTGTGTGTGTGCCCAAAATCCCAAGAGAAGAATGGAGGAGAAGGGACTGCGGCATGGCCACCCTCCACCCCGTGGCCCCTCCCCCCATTAGTGATTTCTCCTTTTCTGTCTTTGTGGTGAGCACACATTCCCTATAGCAAATATCTCTCTTAAACAAATTAAAAAGGCACCTTCCTAGCTTTAGAGGCATGCATGAGATTTTGCAAGTAGAACAGTCTCATTGCTTAAAGTATAAGTACAGATTAGAACTACCATTCTCTCTGGATGTTAAAGTGGTGCCTTGACAAAGGACTTTATGTCTCTGCTAGCTATGAGCATACTTGGCCCACATATTTTTGTTTTTATGGGGGTTTTTTTTTGAGAACATTTTGCGATTAGGGCTCATGCGCTCAACAGACAAGACAGAAAAAAACAGACAAAAAGTGATAAATTACTCTCCAGGGGGGATTGATACATCTTATAGAAAATTCTTGAAAATGCACATGTTAAAAAAAAAATCCTGCATGAATTTCAAAAATTTTTACATCAAAATAAACCTGTACTTTAATTTTATTTTCCACAAACTTTTTAAAGTCCTCGTTATTTGTGTAGATGAATAGCAAGACTTTGAGTGGATTTAATTAGTCTATATTTTGTTATCCAGTGTAAATTTGGATATGTTTAGCTTGATTTTTAGCTGAAAGTTAGGGCAATACATCTAATAATTTTAAAGTTAAAGATGTGAAATTTTGCAGGACAAAAGTTGGTGAAAGAAGGACAGGAATGAAAAAAAAATTCATTGACTACTTGCTATTAGCTCAGCACTGTTCTAATTCTAAGCACTAGACAGAGTTTTAGTATAATTTAATATCACTTGAACTCTAGTTTCTCTAGAGTGGGAGTGTCATTAGTCAAGAAAAATGGGCCCAGAGTTCTTTTTAGAGTAATTATTTTAATACCATATTATTTTCATAGCTTAAACTGCACCAAAACTTCATAGCATTGTGTAGACTTGCTATATGACCACACAAAGGAAGCTATATCTTTATAGATAGAAGAAAACTTACAGAGAAGAAAATGTGTAAAGAAACACTCAGCACCTCTTTGTTAGGATATTTTAATAAAAGTGGAACAGTTTAGAGCAGAGAGAGAAAAATTGTAGCTGGCCTGAGATGAAAACGGTGAAGGAATTAAAATGTAATGTAGGAGATGGATACCAAATTTGAGCTGTGAAGTACTGACTTTCTTGACTAAAAATGAATATTTTCTGCTGCGACTTGAATGAATCTCCCTCCAGATTCATTTCTAGTGCCCTCTACGTGCTAAGTGTCTAGACAGGTCCAAGTGAACAAGATCCAAATATCTGAATATGATTAGGGTCAGAATATTCCTTTATTCCCACTGAATCTGAAGCAGACAGAGTGAAAACAGAATGGAAGAGAGATTGCAGATGACCCCCTACACGCCTCTGAATGCTCAGATCGAACTTCAAACACACCATCCATTGGATGACTAGAAATCACTGCAGGGTCACAAGAAATATGGGAATGTAAAAAAAAAATACCTCTCCTCTAAGGGAAAAAAATAACTCCTCTTCATCTTCAGACAGTACAATGAAACTCACAGGAATGTCAGATAAAGAATTTAGAATATTCATAGTGACAGAGCTAACAGAGATGGAAGAGAAGAGAGACAATGAACTGCAGATGAGACAGTAAAGAATCAAATGGCCCTGTTAGAGATGAAGGCTATAATACAGGAAGTCAAAACCTCCCCTGAAAATATTAAAAGCAGACTAGATCATACAGAAAATCAAATCTCAGATGTAGAAGATAGAATCACTGGCCTAGAAAATTCCACCATGAAGACTGAGAAAATTGCCCAATAAAATGAGAATAATATACAAAAAGTACTAGATATTATCAAACATCCAAACATCCAGATAATTGGTGTCCCAGAAGGCAAAGAGACTCATAAGGGCACTAATAATCTATTCCATGAAATATTGCAAGAAAACTTTCCTATCCTAGAGAGGCACTCAAAAATCCAGTCCCAAGAAATACAAACGACTCCAAATAGAATCAACCCAAGAAGATGTCCAAAACACATAATAGCCAGATTGACCAAACCACAGACAAAGACAACTAAGATTGGCAAGAGAGAACATCAAGTTACTTACAAAGGATATTCCATCAGGCTAACAGTGAACCTCTCATCAGAAACAATGCAAGCGAAGAAAGAGTGGGAAAATATATTCAAAATGTTAAGGCAAAAGCAGTTTCAACCAAGAATACTGTACCCAGCAAGATTATCTTTCATATGGGAAGAAAAGACAAGAATATTCTCAGATAAACAAAACCTAAAAGAATTTACCAACACCAGACCAGATATCCAAGAAGTTCTCAAGGGAATACTATACCAGGAAAATTAAATACAGACACACAGAAATAAGACTTCAAAAACTGGGACCAGCAGTTGGGTAATGACTGTGTCACTGGACTCCCATGTAGTCTACCACAGTTCGAGTCCCAGACCCAGCGGCTTAACCTCACGTCGGGAGCATGTGTGTGTGTGCCCAAGATCTTGAGAATGGAGGAGAGGGGATCACAGCATGGCCATCCCCCCTGGGGAGGTGATTTAGGAACAAGTCTGGAGTTGAATATTATATCCCAGAATTTATTTGGGAAGATCTAACCACAGCAGAAGATAGATTAAGTACATGAGACTTAACTGGTGAAATAGAATTTTATGACTTTTGACTAAAACATTGCTGATTTTCTTCTAGGCTTTGTTTTCCAGTTGTAAGGATTTTTGTCCTGTCTTGAGCTGCCAATAGGTTCATATACCTACTATTTGAAGAAAATCCTAACCTGTTTCCTGGGTTTAAATTTTAAGCAAAATTCCTTAGCATTTCTTTGATTTATAGTAAGCTATATAGCATCAGCTAGGTGCTACTTTATAGTATATTCATTCTGTTCAGAGTTTCACGCCTAAAGTCAGACATGAATTCACAGATATGTATATACCAGCTGAACTTGCTATTGAAAGTAGTTAGATTATTTAAGAAATTTTGGAGTCAGTAAAATATGGGGGAAATGAAGGAATGGAAAACAACTGTAGACACCTGAGATAGTGTGAAAGGAGGGTGGGAAATGGCAGAGGGTGAGAAATAGGAGGAAATATATATATATATGTGTGTGTGTTTATATATATATATATATGAAACTAGAAATGGAATTGACAATAACATATGATTAAACCACTGTACAGTATATTCTCGATGGGAAATCACATTTTGTATACTGTGACAATGCTCAGGGAATGAAAATTAATTAAATATTTCAAAAAGAAATAAACTTCAAAATAATAACAATAAATAAATAAAATGTAATGTAAACAAAATGCAAGTTAGGGATGATTGATTTGTTTTTCTTTTAGATCCCATGCCAAAAGGTTTTGAGCAATACTATGGCTTCACGCAGTTTGCATTAGAATTAAATGAGTTGGATTCATCGTCCAGGTCTTTACTGCCACCCATATTTCAAAAAGAAGTAAACTTCAAAATAATAACAATAAATAAATAAAATGTAATGTAAACAAAATGCAAGTTAGGGATGATTGATTTGTTTTTCTTTTAGATCCCATGCCAAAAGGTTTTGAGCAATACTATGGCTTCACGCAGTTTGCATTAGAATTAAATGAGTTGGATTCATCGTCCAGGTCTTTACTGCCACCCACCGATACTCGATTTAGGCCAGACCAAAGGTAAAGATGTTTGAAAGATCTTTCTCTGAGAGACATAAAATTCTTTATACAAGGTCATATTGGGCCAGCTCCATGGCCTGGTGGTTAAGGCAGCCAGATCCCACAGGGCTGACCCCATAGTACGTGTCCCAGACCCAGTGGCTTGAGAAACATGGTAGGCACACGTGATGCACACCTGTGCCCAGAATCCCACCAGGACTGAGAAATGATGGAGAAGGGATTGCTGCATGACCATGCTCCACGGGGGGTTATTTCTCTTTCGCTCTCTGGAAAACACATAGATAGGCCCCTTGGCAAAAATTCTAAAAGAACATAAACGACAAACTGAAAAATCTATGCTTATAATGCATGTTATGAATCAGTTCTAGAAATCAAGCAATAGATCAACTCATTAAAAATAAATGAAGAAAATGAAGTTTAGAAAACAGGAAATGCAGATATCCCTTAAGCCTATGAAAAGATGTTTGACATCACACATAATAAGAAAGATGGAAAATTTTAAAACTATATTGATGAACATTTCTTAATCTACCAGATTGGCCAAAATTCTAAAGTCTGATACACTTCAAGGTGATAAGAGAATGGGGACTCATAACATTGCTGATGGGAATGTAAATTACATAATCCCCGTAAATGGCTGTTTGTTAATATATAAACTACAGATTCATCCTTTAACCCAGCAATTTAATTTTTAAAGAGTTATTTTATTTAACTTCATTGATTATTATTATTATTGTTATTATGTTTTCATTTGATCAGAGAAAGACAGAGAGAGAGGAAGGGAAAGTGAGAAAGTAAGTCACCAGGTCTGGGATTTGAACTGTGGTGGGCCACATGGGAGTTCAGTGCCTTTAGCCACCATGCCACCTGCCAGCTCCCAAACCCAGCAATTTCATTTCATTTCTTTTCTTTTCTTTTTTTTTTTTTTTTTTTTTTGCGAGATTTTTTCTTTTAGGGCCGCGCTTGCCAGACAGACAGAGACAGAGAGACAGAAAGCAAGAAATCACCCCCCAGGAGGGATGGTCACGCCGCAATCCCTTCTCCTCCATTCTCCTCTCGGGATCTGGGCATGCACGCACACATGCCCGGCGTGAGTTTTAAGCCACCGGGTCCAGGACGCGAACCGTGGTCAACTACGTGGGAGTCCAGTGACATAGCCATTACACTAACTGCTGGTTCCCAGCAATCTCATTTCTTGAAATCTCTTCTGAAATATGCTCACCCAGGGGCAAAATGATGGATATACAAGGTCATTCATTGCAGCATGAGTTGTAACATTAAAACATTGGGAATGACCCAAAGGTCTGTCAGTAGAAAAGTGTTTAAAGTATATCCACGAAACTGATATTTCACAGTTATTGAGAAATGAAGATGTCTGGGCTCCCACATGGTCGGCCATAGTTCAAATCCCAGACCCAGGGGCTTGAGAATCACACCATGCACCCATGCATGCCCAAAGTCCCGGGAGAATGGAGGAGAGGGGATTGTGGTGTAGCCATCCTCCTGGGGGATGATTTCTTATTTTCCTCTCTATGTCTCTCTCTTCCCTCACACCTTCTCACAAGCAAGCACACATGCCATATGGCAAAAACCTAAAAAAAAATAATAATAATAAAAAATTTAAAAAATAAAAAGATTTCAGGCCAGGCCCATTGTCCATTGGTTAAGTACTATGCAGAAGAAGCAGGATCCCATATGGCTGACTGGGTTTTGAGTCCCAGCTTGGCCCCTGGCAGCTTGAAAAATCATGCCAGCATGCACATGTATGTGTGTGTCCAAGATCCTGACAGGATAAAGAATTGGAGAAAAAAAGATTGCAGGAGCCAGGCTCTGTCATTGGGGGATTCTTTCTCTTTCTCCCCTCTCATGTTCATGCGCACCCTCTGACCAAACAGAAAAAAGAAAAGAAAAGAAAGGTATCTATGTATTACCTTAGGAAGAGTTCTAAGATACAAAGTAAAACAAAAAAAATCAAAGAGTATAGATAGCTTGCAGTGTGCTATCATTTATATTTTTAAAAGGGAGGAAGGGAGAAGAACCTATATTTCTATTTCCTTCGATATGAATAAAGAATCTCTAGGAGGAAGCACGGAAAACTAACAGTGGTTTACTCGCTGGGGAGGGTGAAGGTGAATGTCATGAGGCAGGGAACGGGTGAGATTGGAGAAAAGAAGGAAAGGGAAACTTGGCCCCAAATTCCTTTTTATTTATATATATTTTTTAACTTGTCAATATCATCGATATATAAAATAATAACTTCTTGAACCTCCTCAATTTATTGTTTTCAGAGTGAGGGGAGGGCTTATTCATGAGAGAGGATTTGAGTACCTAGCCTTGGACTCATGTAAACTCACTGGTCATGATTGCTATGTTTTCTTAGAATTTATATTCCTTCTTTTTTTTTTTTTTCCCCTCAATGTCTCAGGTTTCTAGAAGAAGGGAACTTAGAAGAAGCTGAAATACATAAGCAGAGGATTGAACAGCTACAGAGAGAAAGGCGACGGGTCTTAGAAGAAAACCGTGTGGAGCACCAGCCCCGGTTTTTCAGGTTTGTGCCTGATTCATGTGAGTGGTTACTTGGTAGGGCTCTGGGCATTTCCTGCTTTTGGCCTAGAGAAAGCGAACAGGAGTATCCCCTCCCCAAGAGAGAGTATTCTTAATGATTTTCCTGCTTCTCTTCTCCTCTCAAGGCCTGACTTCCCCCAACATCTGCCTCTGGGCAATCCTCTTCCCTGTCCTAGGCAGGACCCCTCCTTCTGGGGTCTCTTGTGCTTTCCCAGCTGCCTGCAGTGCCTGGCACAGCGAGTCTGCCGAGCAGGTAATCAGTAATGATGGTGGACGAAGCCAGGTGGCTGCCAGAACCGGGGCCCAAGACTAGGCCAGTTTAATAGACTCATGGCTAAATGGTCACCACATGGATATATTTCACACAAGGCTAGAGATAATTAGTGCTCACCACACTGGTTACCAAAATGGAAACTCTAATTCTGAAGAGCAGGAGTCCCAGCACACGGGGGGCTTGGATTTGGAATACTTACTGTTGTTTTTTGACATCACTTGCTAAAAGGCTCTTGAGAAACACAGACTGAAATGTTTTAAAAGGAGGCGATCATCAGCCCTTTACCTCCTCACCTCTCAGGGTGCTATATGTTTTTTTTTTAAAAATTAGTTAAAGCAAGTATATATAAAAAAGCAGCAAGTGCCTGCCCTACTTCTCCCACCCTTGTCCTGTTTTCGGAGTAACTAATGTTTTGTTGTTGTTTTGGGCAAGTTTTTGGTTTTGGTTCTCTTTACTCATGTATTTCTTGTATGAGAGAGATAGGCACTAATTGGAGTTTTCGTGCCACGATCCACCCCCAACTCCAGCCAGTCCAGATCATGGGTATGCCCTTGTTCCAGGCATGTACAAGAAGGCTCCAGGACATGAACCCAGGGACCTTCTGATGTGGATCCAGTTGCATTACCACTATGTTCCCATCTAGACTCTTTTTATTTATTTTCAATGAACAACAGAAGTCCTTTCAGGAAGATTAAACTACTTACTCATCTATCAGCCACAGGAATAAAATGTGTATTTCAAAACATCAAAATAGAGACCAGCAGTTAGCGTAAATGGCTATGTCGCTGGATTCCCATGCAGCTGACTGCAGTTCGAGTTCCAGATCTCATGGCTTAAACTCACACCAGTCGCGTGTGCGTGCGTGCCCAAGATCCTGAGAGGAGAATGGAGAAGAAGGGATTGCGGCATGGTCATCCCCCCTGGGGAGTGATTTCTCACTTTCTATCTCTCTGTCTCTCTCTGTCTTTCTGGCGAGTGCACACGCTCTATAGCAAAAACCTCTCCAAAAGAAAAAAAAAAATCAAAGTAGCTACAAGTAAAATGTTATCCCCGAAAGATAATGCTCTTTTCCCTAAAGTTTTAGATTCTGCTAGATCCCTTCTGATCATTTTCATAAACTCAATATATTAGCAGATGGCATAGTGATTACAATGCTAGACTCCAGTTCGAGTCCCAGACCCTGTGAAACTCGCGTCAGGCATGTGTGTGAGTGCCCAAGATGCCAGGAGGAAAATGGAGGAGAAGGGATTGTGGCATGGCCATCCCCCTGGGGTGGGGGATTTCTCATTTTCCCTCTCACTGTCTCTCTCTCTCTCACTCTCTCTCCAGTGAGCACTCGTGCCCTAAGGCAAAAAACCTCTTTAAAAAGGAAAAGAAAAAGAGGTAGATACCTTTAATTCTTGCTTGAAAAAGGCAAGAGATAGAAAACTGGATAGATTAACAGGGTGACTAGTTGATTTACTGATTCATCAATTGATATACACATATACACTTAAGGAGGTCAACTTCTTTTTTTCTTTTATAAATCATACAGTTTAATTTTTTTTTTAAAGAGACTCCGGGACCAGCAGATGGCATAATGGTTATGTAGCTGGACTCCCACATAGTTGACTGTGGTTCAAGTCCTGGACCTGGTGGCTTAAAACTTACACCGGGTGCATATGCATGTGTGCCCAAAATCCCAGAGGAGAATGGAAGAGAAGGAATTGCAGCATGATCATCCCCCTGGGGGGTGATTTCTCGCCTTCTGTCTCTCTGTCTCTCTGATGAGCACACGTGCCCTATAGAAAAAAATCTCTCTTGGGAACCAGCAGTTAGTGTAATGGCTATGTTGCTGGACTCCCACGTAGTCGACCACGGTTCGTGTCCTGGACCTGGTAGCTTAAAACTCACGTCGGGCGCGTGTGCGTGCGTGCCCAAGATCCCGAGAGGAGAATGGAGGAGAAGGGATTGCGGCATGACCATCCCCCCTGGGGGGTGATTTCTCGCTTTCTGTCTCTCTGTCTCTCTCTGTCTGTCTGGCAAGCGCACGCACCCTTTAGTGAAAATATCTCGCAAAAAAAAGAAAAAAAAAAAAAGAAAAAAAATCTCTCTTAAAAAAAAAGATTTCATATGTATTAAGATGTTTATTATAGTGTTTCTTAAAAACATTAAAAATTGTGGTAACAAATTGTCTCAAAGCCTACTTAAGGAAGTTTATCAACTGAATCTAATATGAAAGCATTTAGAGTGACCATCCCCCACCAAAGTCTGTGGAAAATATTTAAATGAAGATACGGAATATGTTGAGTCATTGGGTCATTTTGCATAGGAAAATACGTCATCACTTTCCAGATGACCTAATATAATACATGTTATTTAAGAAAATATGTGTGGAATGAAAAAGGACTGAAGGCTGCTGCATCTGGGTGCCGTTGCCCTTTTTCCTTTCGATCGAATGTAAAATTGTCATAAATTGGGTGGAGAGAATTAAAAATGAAATTGGAGAAAAGGCCAGCCAGAGTCATTCATCAGTAGTAATCTTGCTTAGAACTCTTATTTTTTCAAAATACAAACCTGCAAAAAAGATTTCAGAAAGGAACATGGGGGCTTAGACACTGCAATTAATACTTAGGAACAACAAAAACATCTGGAAATTCTAAGTGGAAGCTGCAACTCAGGCTGGGCCGGGCTTCTTTGTTTTATAGCAAACCATCTGATACACACAGATTGGATCCTTTTAAACGCATCCCTTTATTGGAATAAGAAAACAAGCACGATAAAAATCTACATTTTCAGGAGTGTGGGAAAAACAAGTACTCTCCACTTCTCTAATAAAACATATGACACTACTAATGCAAATCACAAATCTTTGAGCCAGCAGTGCAAATTAAGGAAATTTTCAGCGTAACTATACTCACACACATACAAAATAGCATATGCCTAGTTTGAAAACAATGTAAGTGCCCATTGTTTACTTGTTAGATCAATTAGATTAATTGATCCATCCTTTAAATGGAATATCATGCAACTGTTTAAAAAGAAAGTGAGAAATCCCTTCTTGCTAGAATTCTAAGCTTTCCCTGTAAAGAGTAAATGGTAAGTATCTTTGACTTTGTGGGCCATAAGGTCCTAGTAGCAGTTATTCAACCAGCTGTCCAGCAGAAAGCAGCCATGGGCAGTATTTAAACAAGTGGGCATAGCTAGATTCCAATCAAACAGTATTTCCAAGAGGCAGAGGCTAGATTTGACCTTCACATCATAGTTTTCTGACCACTGCCCTCCTGTGTAATGGGAAATGATGTCCAGTATACGTTGTTCTGTCAAAACCTCAAGGGGTGGAATACTGTCCAGTACTTCATTGTATAAAACTTGGAGAGGGTGGAGCATGTGTGTATACATGCGTGCACACACATGTGTGGAATTTCTTTGAAACGTTGAAATGGATAATATCACTGCCTCCGAGGAGAAGAACCGTGAATCTGAGACAAGGGTAGGAGAAAAACGTTTAGGTATGTGAGAGGACTTCGGAAAGATTGTAAAAACTGAAATTAAAATGCAAGTTTATTTTCGTGCAAAAGAGGTTTGAAATCCATGCATAGTTTTTTCATCATACACATTTTTCCATGAAGCTTTTGAAGACCCTTCTGTGCCTTTTGAATTTTGATCTGTGAAAGAATGGTAAACCAGGACTATTCCTCCAAACTGTTCGGGATTCCAATTCCAATTCCTTTTTCTTTCTTTCTTTCTTTCTTTCTTTCTTTCTTTCTTTCTTTCTTTCTTTCTTTCTTTCTTTCTTCCTTCCTTCCTTCCTTCCTTCCTTCCTTCCTTCCTTCCTTCCTTCCTTTCTTT